TGACGAGGTTTTGTACGATGGTACAGACGAAAGCTTAGCCCAGACTCCTCGCAGGACAGTGAGCCGCCAACTTCTTCGCACAATCCATCAGTCCTCCCTCCTTCAGTTTTTGGTGAGGCCAATTGACGAATAATTTTTAGCCAACTTTTTCTTCGAAATGGACATTCCATTCACGATAATGCAATTTTTCGTATTTTACACAAATTACCTTGGCGCGGCCAGGCTCATTTGGGGCTCGTGTCCGTCATGGCGTTGGTCTGTCCAACGCACGAGGCCGTTTCGCAGCCAAGCTGACCCAGCAACCTTCGTTTTGCCGTCTTCCCTTTACCACCCGACACACCCTCTACCTCAGAATGGCTGTTGGAAATTGTATAATCGCCCTCTCAAGTAGTTCTTGGTACGAGCCGGCCGGCAGCTGGGCCCAGGGCATGGCAAAAGGAGGATGAGACCGTGAGGGTGAGACGGCCAAGGGGCCAATGTGCGCTTGTCCGCGAGGCCTGACCGAGTGTTGCAGACCAGCCTCGCAACCGAAACCTAGCATGCCTCAGTCCGCATGCCCGAAGTGGATTGTGCTTGTCTCTGTGGCTAAGTGTCTTGTGTGCATGTCCTCCAGTTCCCATGTAGACACCTTGGTTTGCTCCTCTGCCGGGACGCCTACAAAAGGGTCAAACTAGGCCTGTTGTGCGGCACAAGCCAGCTGGCTGGCCACAATTTGTGGGTAGACGAGCAAGTTGAATTTTCCCACAATCATATGAGTAGATGCTACGTTTTCATTTAATTTCACATGGCCTTGCCTTCTCAAAAGGTATTTACACTGATATTATACGCGGAATTTTCATAGTTCGAGTCCCGTCGGGGCTACTGATGAGACCGGTTGAGGCGAGGTCGAAACCGCAGTAAACACCTGCCCGTATGAGGATACCGTTTTGAAAGGTGAGGCTATGTGAAATTCACTGTAAACGTAATGTCTATTGATATGATTGTGGGAAAATGCATCTACCCTTCCTCGTATCGCCTTAAACGAAGTCGAGTGAACGTATTTCACATAGAAGGCGAATGTTCTGTCGGCAAAGCCGAAATATGGGCTACACTGCGCAAGTTGTCGATTCGCGAAACGACATAGATGGGATTGGAACCGATTTTGCCCAAATCACATTGGCAACGTGATAATTCACTTAATGCCCTCAACATTGACCTGTAGCTCTTCTCAATTTCACACCTCTCTCGCAATAACACTTTCCCAATTGAGTAAAAGCTGTCTTCACCCACGATTGCTTGAGGTAATGAAGTAGGAATAGTTGCATTTTCCCATAACCCAATTGGTATGTCGCCTGTTTCCATTCGACATAACCCAGCCTTTCTTCCCAATAGGTATTCTCATCCAGGCTGGACTGCAGTTTCGCCTTAGTCTTGGTCTCATCAGCACCTACAGCGAGATTCCAAACTGCATTCCAGCTTGGAGGAGAATAACTTTTGGAGAAGCAAGGTTATGTGAGGTACAGCAGCATCCATACAATATCGGGAAAATCCAACCATACAGTCCTTCATCACCTTATTCAACCTAAGGTTGATAAAGGTCTTAATCAAAGCCTACGGGTAGTTTTGAAACCAGCTTAACCAAAATGCAAATATTCACCGAATTGGCCTTCCTTGCCGCGTTCAGGGAGTACGCACCGAGGGGCACGAGAGCGATCAGGGACGGATGGATTCAGACAACGCCAGAGTAGGTGAGCAAATCAGGACTGCTTGTTTCTGGTACCAGGTAGCAAGTGCTCAAGCTGAGCATGACGCGCGAGGCGGCATGGGACACCGACTCGTGAACATGCTGACGGCAAGACTCATTCCCACCTCCGATTCCTATTGGACAGATTTCATGTTATGCAAAGTGTGTGTGTGTGT